TGACTTTTCCAATTTTTCATTTATCAAAATAAAATTGTGAACATTTAAAAAACAACGCAATAAAAACATGTATGTATATGTTACCTATTCTGATTGACATTACAAGTAAAGCTGCCTGTAAAGTAAAACAGGCTTTCAGTGCTTTCAAGCCTTCCTCGTCACACACGAGCAAACCGGACAGTCGCCAGTGCACAGCGCAGACCGATCCCGCGCACTTTGCGCGCCGGCTGCGGGCAGGGTTTCCCGGCCGGTGAGTGCCGGACCCAAGTGGCTAATATATTTATATTATCATACATGAATCAGCAGTAAACACATTACAATTTAAAGTGTATACTCGTGTCTTTTGGAAATTAAACTCACATCCTATGTTGGAATAAATAGCAAAAAAGTGAATTTTTTTTTTTTTTACAAAAAGCAAGCTACATGGCTGTCAATCTTATCAAATGGCTCCACTAAATCTGTAATTCTCCCCACGTCTGGTTTAGTCTCTCCTCTCCCATTAATTTAAGCATGCAATGAAATTTCAGTCTCTTCAGTTCCTTGTGGTTTAAGTGTTAGGCCCACAGGAAAAGTCAAAAGAAAATATATTCTCATTTATGGCTTAATGGCGTCTCCTAATATCCAAATATGATAATTGTGATGATACGTATAACATCAATCAACAAAATACTACTAAGTTCACACAAAGTTAAATGGAATAAATGAGACTCGGCCAAATAAAATCTAATTCTTTTCCTATACTGGGACTAATCACACTTGTGAAAAATACTTTGGATATGTAATGACACACTCAAGATAAAAGATTCATTTTTTCAAGTTCTATGCTCAAATACCAATACTCTTTAATTTAAAACAAAAAAATCACTAAAGCATACATACATGCATTTTACATAAACTAAAACTTTGACATTTAATGTTACTGGGTTCAAATACCTTAGACTCATCCGTAAGTGAAGAATACTTACTCTTAGCTGAGTTCGAAGTTTGGGTATCTCCTTCACTCTCTCTTCAAGTTCATCATTCTGATTTGTTAATTTAACTAGCTCTTCAGCCATTACTGATCGAGTTTTTTCTAGGTTGCCAATTTCTAGCTGAGAAACATTACCGGAAAGCAGTTTAAACCAAAACATATCCTGTTTAATGCTCCCACTAATATACAAATATTTAATGTGTTATTTTTGAAGAAACACACACCACGACACAACCCTTAGCCAGCTCTCTTAAGTCCAAGAAACAGCGGCAGAAAAACAGCCCCGACTTGTCCTCAGGGCCATACCACTTACAAGGTTTACTACAGAACAGAGATAAAGAACCAGAAAATTGTTCCTGGTTCAAACCATCATTTGTTTGAAAAAATACAACTATATATTTTTCTCTAATATTTCAGTTATTCTAATTTGTTATAAGAATCCAAGAGAAACGCACGCTCACTTTAAATGTTTAATGCAGCCCCATCTGTGCAGGTCGCGTTGACAGAAGCTGCACTCACTGCCACAGAAATTAGTCAGAGCCCGCAAGCACACTGGGCTACACAAACATACCTGGGATTAAGGGTATTCTAATCTGTTTTTTGCTAATTCAAGTTCTTTAATGGAATAATATTTTCATGACACTAAAACAATAATGGGAACAGAAGAAGAAGTTTTAGTTGACTTCTGAGTGCACCGAGTCTAACACTGAAGATGGGCACAGGCTGAGCATCCCTTACCAAAGTGCTCAGGACCAGAGTGCTCTGGGTTTCGAGTTTTTTCAGATTTTGGAATATCTGCATTATATATATATATTTGCTGGCTGAGCATCCCAAATCTGGAAATCCAAACCTCTGAATATAATGTCGGCGCTCAAAGTTTTAGATTTTGCAGCATTTCAGATTTTCAGGTTCGGGATGCTCAACCTATGAAACGTTTTAACATTTTTACTGCATAAAGTTTTTAAAAAGCTAAAAAGATGGCGAGACTCCTCATCGACAGGTCATGTTTCTTCCTTGTATGTGCATGCAGGGTGTTACAGTTCTAACACCCCGTTTATTCCCTCCTTGCTGGGGGAGTTGGGGCAACTCATCTAAGTGGTCAATCGGGTAAGAATAAACGGGCACGCTCGGCTCAGCCATCTTCCCGTTTTCTGTTAGAGGAGAGGTGCCTGCTCCAGGATGCCTGCACGTCTCAGCTGGGCAGGGCTGGGCAGACACGTGGGGAGGCCTGCCCAGCCCAGCATTTCCAGAGACGGAGGAGAGAAGTCTGCCCAGTTCTGACAGTCAGGGAGCAGGCTCATTTGGCTCTTACCCTTGGCTGATTTCTCCAATGAGCCTTTGTCATTAACACGTGGGATAGATACACTTTGGGCTTCACATGCCACTATTTCATTTTATTTCTCAGTTTGCTCAGAATTAAGGTAAGAAATGAAGGGTGCTATTTATTGGGGCCCAAATTTTCATTTACTTCTACAGCACATTTAATTTTTTTTTTTCCCAGAGACAGGGGCTCACTCTGTCACCCAGGCTGGAATACAGTGGCACAAGCATAGCTCACTGCAGCCTCGACCTCCTGGGCCCAAGCCATCCTCCTGCCTCAGCCTCCCAGGCCACAAGGACTACAAGCAAAACCACCACACCCAGCCATCGTTTTAAATTTTTTTGTAGAGATAGGGTCTCACTATGTTGCCCAGGCTGGTCTCAAACTCTTGGCCTCAAGCAATCCTCCTGCCTCCACATGCCGAGGTGCTAGGATTACAGACCTAGCACATTTAAGTTTTCCAATACCTGTAAATGAGTAATTTCTCCTTCCCTCAGCTTTAGCTGAGACTGCAGGTTTTCAATGATGCTTGACCCCGCTCCCATCCTGACAGCATCGTAAAGATTGCTTCCATTTGCTGACGCAGACATCGGTCCAAACGCGTGATCTTGGGACTCATCCTGTGTTCATTTACAAAAGCGCACACGATTACTCAGTTGGCACAGACCAAGTTCCATTATCAGGTTCAAACAAGATGGTTCTGTCAATCCCTGCCTTGAAATGTCTCTGACTTTCTCAAAGGCAGAAAACCATCCCCACTTCCCCAATGCAATGGGCACGTCTCCACAAACATTCAGAGGGACTGCTTGCGGATCACGGCACGGGCACGGTGATGGCCGGTCAGCCACCCGCATGTTCCCTCATCATCAGCTGATTCAAGGACCAAGGACGCGTGAGAACCAGCACATCACCTGAGACAGCACAGATGTCTGCAGTCCTGCCACGTCCACTCCACTTATTGAGCTCGAGCGTGAGAGGGTGGGAGTGCTAGAAACAGAAAACGGCTTGCGTTCCTTAGAGAATAAGAAAAAAAAAAAAACTCTATTCAGATTAAAGAGCAAAGAGAGACATCAAGAAAATTTTCTAGAATGAATAAGAACAAAGATTTATTCTCCTTTTCCCATAATATGTTATAGATACGATTTTGAAGTCTTAGGAAAGGTGTAATATTTAGTAATTAAAAGTACAGACAGCCTTGGCCAAAACATTACAGGATCCATTTATATTGCAACAACATAATTTGTTATTTTTTCATAGAGTGAGAATGTTTTTGTTGATACAAGTATATCAACTAAACTAACTGCTTCATATTATATAATACACCACCAATTAAACCTACTTCTTTAATATAAAATTACTGATGAATTTTACAAACCATGAAGTTTCTGGCTTATCCATTTTATTTTTAGTGTATTTGTTTTTAATTCCAAATAAACTCAAAAGGTGATTTAAATTTACATATAGGTAGTTTTAATGTATTGTGCTAAGTCTAAGTACACTACAATTCTTTAAATATAGGAAACTCACTTCAGAAAAATTACCTTCATTAATCAGAAAGAAAGTGAACAAGCCAGTTGTACTCCTAAGGTGCCTATGGGCCAAATGAGGCACATTGGTTTCAGTGAGAGACCACAGAATTCATTTGGACAGGGACGGAAGGTTCTATAATTCAAATCTTAGAAATCACAGATCTCTTTAGATATACTTGAATTACTTTGGGTACATTCTGAGCAGGATACTGATTATACTATAGGAGTTGATCACTATATTGATTCTAGGCATAAAAAAGGGTACTTATAAAGCATAGATAAAATCATAAAACAATCAATGATTAGTCACAACATCTACTAAATGGTTATACCAAAAACAAAAGCATCAACAAAATTCAATACCTTTTCTTTTATTGCTTCTTGAGTGAAAATGGCTTTCTTCCTTTCTTGTTCAACTTTCATTCTTTCCATTTCTAACTGACTATTCAACAGTGTCTAATGGGGAAAGGAATAGACAGTTTCCGTGATACTAATTCACGCCACCATAATCAGTCAGTCTCAAAGTTAGGAACATAAAGTATAAATTCCTATTTGTTTTACTACTAAAGATCAAGTTCCAAAATCACTCATTTCATCTCATCATCTCATTAGTCTGCCACCATCCCCAGCTATTCTTTTTTTTGAGACAGAGTCTCGCTCTGTTGCCCGGGCTAGAGTGCCGTGGCGTCAGCCTAGCTCACAGCAACCTCCAACTCCTGGGCTCAAGCGATCCTCCTGCCTCAGCCTGACGAGGTAGCTGGGACTACAGGCATGCAGCACCATGCCCGGCTCATTTTTTCTATATAAAGTTTTAGTTGGCCAATTAATTTCTTTCTATTTTTAGTAGAGATGGGGTCTTGCTCTTGCTCAGGTTGGTCTCAACTCCTGACCTTGAGTGATCCACCCGCCTTGGCCTCCCAGAGTGCTAGGATTACAGGCATGAGCTACCGCGCCTGGCCCAACTATTCTTAATGTAAGCCCTACAGGTGAGCAAACACAAAGAGAAATACCTTTTCTTTCCTTGTCTCTTCCAGTGTTCTTACATATTCATCTTTTAAGTTTTCTAATTCAACCTGGTACCTATTAAACCAGAAGGAATGAAAACAAAAAAAGATGATAGTACAGACTTTTAAAAATTCATTACCTTATTTAACTCCAGTTACATTTTAATTACCAGCTCAACATCAGTGATTTTTCAGTAATGTTTTTCAGATCATTTGGGTTCTACTCAAGAGGCCAAGCTATACATGAAAAAGCTCCACTTTTGTGCATTTTATTTATTGGTGCCCTGGGTTCAGATTTCACTTAAAAAAAAAGGCTTCACAAAAAATAATTTTGAGTATCACCATTCTATAATATGCTCAGACTCTGCAAAAGCTTATTAGGGAGGTTTATATTAAATAAAAATGTTTATAAAAGTTCAGATGTTTTACTTTATAAATCATTTTTACTTGACTGCTTTTTTAAAAAGTAAAATTTCCAAGAAAGAACTCACAGGGTAGAAAACACACTAATTGTGGCCTTAATATAATCTCAGATAGATGGATCATACAGCCTGTGGTTTCCAAGAACCCAGACGTTAATTTAGAAAGACTGGAATGCTTCTAAAACCCTTGTAATATAAAAATAATTCCAATGAGTGGTCTCCAAACTATTTTGTGGTGTTATAGGCCCCTTTAAAAATCCAGTTAAACGTAAGAATTCTTTCCCTGGAAAAATGCAAACACACACAAAACATGCCACACAATTTCAAGAACCCATATGAGGTCCAAGGAGTCCCAGTTCTATTTTGTCATAGTATCTTATTACTAATGACCCTGACTTTCATTACTCAAGGTGTTTACTATTAGTTCTCAGTGATACAAAGCTAAAAGCCAACAACATACTCTCCAAAAGTGCTTCACAATGTCCCCAACCACCAAGAATATCACTCAAAAGACATGCTCACCTATTATTTTCATCCTCCAGCTTTCTTAGCCTGTTTCTCTCTGATTCTAGCTGGGCCTGAAATCTAGTGTTTTCCTGTCTTAACAGAGAGTTCTGGGACTCTACAGAAGACATTTGAATTTTGTTGGCAAGGAGCTCTTCCGTTGCTGCTCGCTCTCTTTCAACCGCTGCTGCCAACAAGGTCTGGGATTCACCTGATGCAGAACAGAAAGAAAAATCGCATATGCATAATGCCCCCAAAACAAGACACCAAGTGATCCTGACTTTAAACTTTTAATGACACAAGTAGCTACACTTATACCGATAACTACTTACTGCCCAAGGCAAGAATGCCTACTGAGACCAATGAACCGATCTTAACTTGTATCTGCTTTATCATTCTTTTCCCAAAGCATTTTAATTTGAGAGTGAAGCCATATTAAAAGAGTAGTGGAATAACAAGTGGTCCTGGACCAATTGGATATCCATAGGCAAAAAAATAAAAAGAACCTCAACCTAAACATCACATCACATATGACATCATACATCAAAAATAACCTAAAATGCATCACAGACTTAAATGTAAAACATAAAACTATAACAATTTTATGAAAAAAATAGTAGAAAATCTTCAGGATCTAGTGGTTAAGCAAAGAGTACCTAGATTTGACACCAAAAGCATAAAATTACCTTTAAAATTTTAAACTTTTGCCCTATGTGAAGAGGATGAAAAAGCACACCACAGACTGGGAGACAATAAATGCAAACCAAATATCTAGGACCAGTATAATATTCAGAATATACAAAGAACCCTCAAAACTCGACATTGAAAATATAAACAATCCAGTTAGAAAATGAGCAAAAGACATAAAGAGGATGTATAAATGGAAAGTAAGGACATGAAATGATATTCAATATTATTAGCTATTAGGAAAAATGCAAATTAAAATCATAATGAGTTACGACTACACATCTGTCTAAATAACAAAAGAATAAAAGGGACAACACAAAATGCAGGCAAGGATGTGTAGAAACTAGATCACTCTTGTACACACAGCCATTCTGGAAATGGTTTGGCCTTCTCTTTAAAACTAAACATGTAGCTACCATACAACCCAGCAATTGCACACTTGTGCATTTATCCAAAGAAAGGGAAACTTATGTTCACACTAAAACCTGTAAGTGAATATTCACAGCAGCTTTATCTGTAATAGCCAAAACCCGGAACCAGCCCAGACGTCCTTTGTCAAGTGAATAAAAAAAACTGGTAATATCCATACCACGAAATGAAACCCAACAATAAAAAGACTAACCTATTGATACAAACAACAATTTGCATGAACCTCCAGTGAATTATGCTGAGCAAAAAAACCCAATCCCAAAATGTCACATATTGTATAATTTTACTTATCTCACATTTTTGACATGACAAAATTTTAGAAATAGAGGACAGATTCGTGGTTGTAAGGAATTTGGGGTGGGTTGGGAGGGTTGAAGGTGGTAGGTGCGTTTATCCAAGGGCAACATGAGACACTCCTGTGGTCTTGGAACTTTTCAGTGTCTTAATTATGGTGATGGATCTATGAACCTACATGAGTGGTGTTCTGTATAGGACTAATACACAAATGAGTAATAATAGAACTAGAGAAATAAAATAAATTGGGTAGATTAAAATAAAATTGAATAAAATTGGTAGACTGTACAAATGTCAATATCCTGATTGTGATATTATACATTAATTTTGCAAAAATTTAACATTTGGAGAAATTGGGCAAAGTGTGCAAGGAAGCCTTCTATATTATTTCTTAAAACTGCATTGTGAATCTACAATGATCTCCATTAAAAACTTGCATTAAAAAAAAAAGGAGTGGATAAGATTCTGAGATTTAACCAAAGCAAGAATTCTCATGTTTTTTCCCACCAAAAGACCTAACAATACCTTTATTTTACATTGTACATTCTGCTCCATAGCATATCTATGCCCCTCTTAACAGCACTCTATGGTAGGTATGTTCTAAGGCTCTGCCTACATTCTTACACACACCACACATGCCCCAGGGTACACAGACTCCAGTCTAAAAACCACAAAACACCAGCTTTTAGCTTTCATTTATTATTAAATAAATATTCATTTCAGAAGTTATTGATTTCAGATGTCTCATATTACATATCACACTGGTCTCAAACGAGTTGTCATACATAAATGATAGACCTAAAAAAAAAATTTTTTTTTTTTGAGACAGAGTCTCGCTTTGTTGCCCAGGCTAGAGTGAGTGCCGTGGCGTCAGCCTCGCTCACAGCAACCTCCATCTCCTGGGCTCAAGCCATCCTCCTGCCTTAGCCTCCCGAGTGGCTGGGACTACAGGCATGCGCCACCATGCCCAGCTATTTTTTTCTATATATATTAGTTGGCCAATTAATTTCTTTCTATTTATAGTAGAGACGGGGTCTCGCTCTTGCTCAGGCTGGTTTCAAACTCCTGACCTCGACCAATCTGCCCACCTTGGTCTCCCAGAGTGCTAGGGTGACAGGTGTAGACCTAAAATTTATGCCTATAAATTTACAAATATATGAAGGTTCATCTAGTCCAATGAATTTTTCTAAAACAGATGAATATTTCTCCCGACAAAACCTTGCACAGAACTCCAATAGAAAATGATAGAGAAAGGAGGCCCTATCTTCACGAGAGCGGTCTGAGAAGCCCAGAGCCGTATTTATCCAGCTTCCCTCTCACCATGACAACAGCCCCACAGGCATCCGAGAGTCCCGCCTGGAAGCCACTGATCTAGTCCACCCCTCCTCAGTCACAGGAGCAGCCCAGAGAAAAGACCGAGAGCAATGTCGGTGACTTGTTCCCAGCTGTGTGGTTGGACGATATGAAAGGACACACAACACCTCGAGTCCTTGTCTCCTGACCCCCATTCAGGTCTGTTCCTGTCGCCACACTGTCGTCTCTCAAGTTACAGTTAGGGCTAGGTGCAGAAGCACACGTGAATTTTTCATGTCTCTGCTAGCTTCTGGGATACCTAGCGTATCAAACGCTACCTGTCTGTGTGTAAAGAAAAACATCTTAGAACAATAATTTTCTTTTTATTAATGGCACAGAATTGCAAGCTGAGGCAGGACTGTAAAGAAGCAGGGTGTGGAATCTTAAGACTCCATAGGATCTCTTTCCTAGAGTTTAACCGTAACCCTCCTTCGACCTGTCTTTGCTCTTGGAATTCTACCAGCGACTGGAATCCTATCTGAGCTCCGCATCTTACGCGACTGCAGACAAACTAGACAGGAGTCAGACTAAGCAATGGACCAGGAAAACCTCAATGCAGCAGTCTGAATAAAATGAAAGAATGACACAGAAGTATTTCAGCCAGTATCTGACATACTAAGTAAGGGAAAAAATGGTTTGAAAGAGTCACAGTTAAGGTATTGCAAAAGGAGAAGAGGGGAGATGTACAAGTTAGACACAAAAGGTAACTATCAGATCAAGCGAATTTCAGTTTCATTCCATTATCCTAATTCTATGAACAACATGGAAGGGCTTCTGCAGCAAGCATAAGAACTAAAGCCGTTACCAAGCCTGTCAGAAAGATTCTTCTCTAACTTCTCCCATGACGATGTCTGGGACCCCAGGGTTGCTTGCAAATTTTCTATTTGTCGAAGCAATGGTCTTGTTGTCGATGAAACACTTTGACTCAGTTCCTGATTTCGATTCTCTGCTTCCTGGAGTCTCTAAATCATGAAATTCTTAAGTCATTACCACTGAAAGCAATAAAAAACACTAGCAAACCTAAGTTTTATGAAAGATTTCTGGAAAAAATTATTTTTCCAAGACAGTTATTTGCTTTTTTATTAAACTATTTTTCGAACTGTTTAATCCTTCTGTTAGAGTTAAGTTGCATAAGAGTATCTCAACAAGTGCTTCTTTTTTTCTTTATTTTTTAATATTTTTCATATTACTTTTTATTTCTATTTTCTCTTTTTATACATTTTCATTGTTAAATAAGTGCTTCTTTACAAAGCATTTCTAAGATAGTCTTTTTTTTTTTTTTTGGAGACAGAGTCTTGCTTCGTTGCCCTAGGTAGCATGGAGTGGCATCATCCTAGCTCACAGCAACCTCAAACTCCTGGGCTCCAGCGATCCTCCTGCCTCAGCCTCCCGAGTAGCTGGGACTGCAGGCATGCGCCACCATGCCCGGCTAATTTTTTCTATATATTTTTGGTTGCCCAATTAATTTCTATTTTTAGTACAGACGAGGTCTCGCTCTTGCTCAGGCTGGTCTGAAACTCCTGAGCTCAAGCGATCCTCCCGCCTCGGCCTCCCAGAGTGTTAGGATTACAGGTGTGAGCCACCGCGCCCGGCCTAAGATAGTCTTTAATTACCTGAAGGTAAAAAAGAGACTTCATTGAAACCTCTAGTAGTTATCTCCTCATCCAAAATATTCCTAAGTATTTATAAAAACAGAAAACTCAACCTAAGGTGCACTGCGCCTCCCTTTCCCTGTGCGTGCTCACAGATAGAAAATTCGAGTAGCGCCACTGAAACCGGGCACTGATCATCTGCCCCACAGTGATCAAAGACTGATCATCATTAATAAACTAGCTATTACAAATGAAACAGCAATACGGAACGTGCAATAAATCTACCGTGATAAAATTGTTTTCTATAAAACAAAATTAGGGATTTTTCTATATACGTTTTTAAGGTGCTCACTCTGACTTTACTTAAATAAGCCACAAAAACACAGCAAACGCTAAGTGTGGTAGCAATCCTCTCAATCCCAAGAACATTATCGCATTAAATCACTTTTTAAAAAATTATTTCTAGTAATTTTTTATTTCTGAACACACACGTCTTAAATTTGCGTTCTGGAAAACTGTGACAGTACCTGCTGAAGCTCACTGATTTCATGGCGTAAATAGTCCTCTTTCCTGGCGGCTGCTTGTTCCGCACGCTGCAGGGCCAGCCTCAGGTCCCCCACCTGTCGGAGGAGAAAGACAACGCCACACACAAGGGCAAAGCATTACTGCAGCTCCCTGCCAACTGCACATTTTGTTTTGTATCAGCTAATTCACATATAATACTCTACACTATCTAACGAGCTTTCACATGTGATTATCACGTCCTACTCATCAGACAATTCCAAAACCTTATAGATATTTAGTGTCTCTTTAGAAAAGCACTGTTGGGCAAAGAAGAGCATATAAGTGCCACTAACACACGATACTGGAGAAGAGGCAACGCATCCATGAACGTCTGCCACGTAAGGTAGAATGTGACAAGAGCTACGTGAGCCACAAAAACTGGGTGCTACCCTCTTACGTGCTGCACACGTTACAAACCGCTGCTGCCTTTCTGGAAAACATGGTAACATGTTTAAAGAATCATCAAACTTTCACTTCCTTTCATCTTGTCATCCCAGACCTGTGAATTTATCCTATGAAACAGAAGTAAACACACAGAGATGCTCCCTACAGTATCAGCTACACTGGCAAAAACAAAACAAGGCAGGAATATTCTAAATATCCATCAGTAGTAATCCATACTTATGTAAACGTTGATAAAACATGAATATAACCTTTAAAATTTACAATGAATGCATAAAACATGTAAAGATAACTTAATCTTAACTGGACAAACTAGAAAATAGTATGTATGGTATCAATTATAAAAAATAAGTACAAGGAGATAATACACAGACAGTACGTGTAAAAGGTGATGGCTTTCTGGATGGTAGTCCCATACACGCTTTACCTCCCATCCTCCCAGTTTTACTGTATTATTATTCCAATGTATTTATAACTTGAAATGTTGAGGTTTTATCTAACCCAGTGGCAGAAACACAAGGGATATATGGACCACGGCATGACTGACAATAGCAAAATACTGGAAACAACCCAAATATCAATAATAGCTGAATACACTTCATGTAATAAAGTATTATAAAATCACAAAAAGAGATTTTTTTAAAAAGCTCTATGTTCTATTATGGAGTGGTCATCAAGAAATTTTACTAAGTAAATCAAGTGAGATATAAATCAGTATAAATAGTGAATTATCTTAATGCAAAAGGGATGACAGATATACAAATAAGTGTGTGAGTAAATGTGTATGTGCATATATATAAAAATATGTAAATGTAGAGATATAAATACTTTCTTGCATTTACAAATAGAAACACTGAAAAGACAAACCAAACACTACTAAAATGGTTACCTGCAGGCAAAGAGAGAGACTGGGGAGGGGCTAAGTTGAAAGCAAGTGTCTGATTTTTATTTTGTTACATATGAATAGCTCTCACTTTGGAATCATGTAAATATTTAACATATTTAATATGTAAAATTAAATCAAAAGTACATAGGATACGATGAGAAAAGAATAGTTTTTTCAACAATAGTGATGGGACAACTAGATACTCGCATGCAAAAGACCTACATGTGAGAGCTAAGACGAAAAAAACTCTTAGAAGGGAACTGATAAAAATCCACATAACCGTGGAGTAAACAATGGTTTCTTAAATATGATGCCAAGGCACAAGCAAGAAAACACAGATATGCTAGACTTCATCAAAATTAAAAACGTTTGTGTACCAAAGGACACTATCAAGAATGTGAAAGACAACTCACAAAAAGAGAGAAAATATTTACAAATGCTATATCTGATGAGGGTCTACTATGCAGTATTCATAAAGAACTCTAATAACAATTTTAAAAAAGCCGAATTAAAAAATGGGCGGAAAAAAAAAAATAAATAAAAGAGAAAAAAAAAACAAAAAAAAAATGGGCAAAATATTTGAATATATTTCTTCAACTGGCCAATAAGCACATGAAGAGATGCTCAACATCATTAATCATTAAAAAATGCAAATTAACACCACACTCAGCTACTACTTCACACTCACCAAAGGGGCTACAATAAAAAAAATAGACAGTAACAAATGCTGGTAACAATATGGAGAACCTGAAACCCTTACCTGTTGCTGTTGAGAATGTAAAATGATGCAGCTGCTACAGAAAAGTTTGACAGTTCCTCAAGAAGTTAAATACAGAGCTACCATATGACCCAAGGGTATATATGTCCAGGAGAATTTAAAATGTATGTTCACACAATTCATACATATTTATACCAGCATTATTCACAATAATAAAAAAGTGTAAGCAACCCATGTGTCCATCAATTAATGACTTTTTAAGGCAAAGCCTGACAATTTTTTTTTCCTTCTTAATCTGAGGTCTATGGACTCCCACAGATGTTATAAATGAACTCAGGAGTTAGATGAGTTCTTTTGAAATTATATGTAACATTTATGTACATATATGCACTTCCCTGATAGGAGGGTCCCTCTACCTTTCATAATACTCTCAGATAGGTCTGAAACTCACACACAAAAAATTAAGCAATACTGATGTGATGTGAGTATCACGTTAACAGCAATCTGAAAAGGCGCACACAACTAAGTACTCCTCACCCAGCACGCTCTGAAATCTAACACATGCACCACCACAGACGGTTTGATCCAAACCAGCCAATGAACTGTGCAATTTGCAGCCAATGAACTGTGCAATTTGCAGACACATGAACAAACACTTAAAAGACCACCCCAGTCCATCATCCGCTGCTTACCTGAATCGCTAGTGTTTCTTGCTGCTGACGGGCTTCTTCCTGGGCCTTCTCTAGCGCGGCGGAAAGTTCCTCTCTAGCTTTCATCTCGCGGCTCAGAGCAGCTTCCTGCGCCTCACTGTCCTTCGCAGCATTGGCTTTGTGAAGATCGGTAAGTTCTCTTAAAAGAATCAGACTCAGTTTATGAAGGCTGCTAACGATCAGATGACAGAAAAAGTATTTCCTCAACACCCCGCCCTGATAATTCACTCGAAATGGGGGCGTATCCGCTCGCTGTCTTACTTGTACGCACTGTCCAGGGCAGCCTGAATACTTCGGTTCTTTTCTTCAAGTCCGTCCAAGTCTGCTTGAAGTTTGCCAAGATCCTTTTCCTGGCGTCCCACCACAGAATTCAGTTTTTTAATGTTTTCTCTGTGCTGTTTCTCAACCTCTTCTTTACCATCAAGGACCTATACGTCATGTAAACAGACAAAAGTGTTTTTCAATAAATAATACCATGGTAAATGACTATATTGCAGGAATCTATAAGAAAAATCTTAGTCATCTGTTAAATTATTTAAAGAATGCTTCTCACAGGATACGTCCCATTAAATCATTTCAAATGCTCCATAAACCATGGCCAACTGTTCATATGGGAAGTTAATAACAATATGTATGTAAAGAATAATGATTTCTATTCACCTGTTTTAAATGTTGCAACTCCTCTTCTAGCTCTTTAACTTTTTTGTTCAGCTTTGTAATAATATTTTCATTTTCTTTGTCTTTAGCTCTTAGTTTCTTAATGATGTTAGAATTATGCAGCTGCTGTTTTGAAAGTTTTTCTCCTGGTGATGGTAAAAATGTATAAATTCAAATGATAGCAATCCCCTAAAAATCCGAATAGAATGTCTTATCTAACCACCAGTGACAAAATAAAATTTTTTCAAAATCACTATTTTGTGATCCCTAATGTAACAAATGGTTTGGACAAGAATCATCAATAAATGTTAAAATTATAAGGTGACAGCATATTAGGGAATAGGATATTGACATGGTCTTAAAGGATCACTCCCACATATTTCACTTGTGAATTAAAAGGGAGAAATGTGCTTTTACCGTGAAAAATCTGGCAGTGGCCAACTTAACCAAGCATGCGGTCTGGCATCACCAACGCCATGCGGTGTGACGTCATGTGCCTACTGATGTAGTGATGCAGACACGCACCACCTAAGCGTGAGCAAAGTGACAGATCCCTAAAAAGGGGGCGAGCTACAGGACAACTGCCCTCGACTCCACAGTCTCTATCATCACAGAGAAGAGAGAACCACGTCAGAGCGGCGGAAGGCCGGAGGGACGTGACAGCCGAACGCAAGGGGCGAACTCCAGGCCCTGGGGCAGGATGAACGGCTAACTATAAAGGACGTTTTCTGAGATAGCTGAGATAAGTAACGGACGATCTGCTGGATCACGCTTATGAATTAAAGCTGACTTTCTTGGGCATGATAATGAAGTTGTGCTTGTGAAGGAACGTGTATTTGCCCTTGGGAGATGCAGACTAAAGAATTCAGGAGTGAAATGTTATGGTTTCTGTAACGCACTTTCACATGGTTTGGCAAAAGGGTAGAGTGTTCGTGTGTAGAAAGATATGGAAGAGGTGTGGCAAGATGTTAACATTTCATGAATCTAGGTAGTAAGTAATCAGGTATTCACTACAGTATGCTTTTAGCTTTGAGTTTTTCAGCTCTTCAGCTATAAGTTTTAAAAATACTCTTGGGGTCAGGTGCGGTGGCTCACACCTGTAATCCCAGCACTCTGTGAGGCCGAGGCAGGCGGATCGCTCAAGGTCAGGAGTTAAAAACCAGCCTGAGCAAGAGCGAGACCCTATCTCTACTAAAAATATAAACAAATTAATTGGCCAAGTAAAAACATATATAGAAAAAATTAGCCGGGCATGGTGGCTCATGCCTGTAGTTCCAGCTACTCGGGAGGCTGAGGCAGGAGGATGGGTTGAGCCTAGGAGTTTGAGGTTGCTGTGAGCTAGGCTGAAGCCACGGCACTCTAGCCTGGGCAACAGGGTGAGACTCTGTCTCAAAAAAAAAATAAAAAATAAAATTACTCTTGGGGGAAATGGAAACAGTCTATAAATATTCCTTTGTGAAGTCATTCTGTTTTCTGTATAAGGAGGTTCTGCATGCAAAAGAAAACATCGGCACACCCCATGACTAAATTACTAAATTCCAAAATTGCAATTATTTTGATATTAATATTTTAAATAATTTTCTAAGATTACAAAACCATGCATTTTAGCCTTCCTCTCAGTCTCTAATATTACAACACAAGGCAGTTAATGACTTCAAGATATCCTGGGGTAGTAATAATTATCTGGCCGGGCACAGTGGCTCATGTCTACAATCCCAACACTTTGAAAGGCCAAGGCAGGAGAGGATCACTTGAGGCCAGAAGTTCAAGATCAGCCTGAGCAACATAGCAAGACCCTGTCTCTACAAAAAACAAAAAAAATTAGATGGGCACGGAGGCGCCTACCTATAGTTTCAGCTACTTGTGAGGCTGAGGCAGGAGGACCGCTTCAGCCTGAGCCCAGGTGTTGGAGGCTGCAGTGAGCTATTATGATGCCACTGCATGCCAACCTGAGTGACAGAGCAAGATCCTGTCTCAAAAAGAAAAAAAATTATGTGTTTTATCAATTCTTTCTTCATGCTTCTACTATAGTGCTTAGAACTGTGTTTTATAATTATCTGTACACCGATATTTCCCTCTCACTAAACTAAGCTCCTGAAGGGCAAGGAGTATGTTATATTTATTATTTTATCAAACAGGGTATCTGACATAATAAATTCAATAAACATTAGCTGAATAAAGGAAAAAGAAAAAGTTGGGAAAAGCTAACTCTCCCAATGACTACTTCCAATTGTTCTCAAACTACATTTTCTCTGGAAATTCACTTAAGTTTAATGAGTCCACATAAAAAATGTTCATCCCACCAATATTTGTAATATTAACATTTTAAACATAAATGTACATTAGGAAAACAGTAAAGCAAATTAGAAAGGTTGGACGCAGTGGCTCACGCCTGTAATCCTAGCACTCTGGGAGGCCAAGGCGGGCGGACTGCTAGAGGTCAGGATTCAAAACCAGCCTGAAGGAGCGAGACCATCTCTACTATAAAAATAGAAAGAAATTAATTGGCCAACAAATATATATATAGAAAAAATTAGCTGGGCATGGTGGCACATGCCTGTAGTTCCAGCTACTCGGGAGGCTGAGGCAGGAGGATCGCTTGAGCCCAGGAGTTTGAGGTTGCTGTGAGCTAGGCTAACGCCACGGCACTCACTCTAGCCCGGGTAACAAAGTGAGACTCTGTCTCAAAAAAAAAAAAAAAGAAAAGAAAAAGAAGAGAAAGAGGCCAGGTATGGTGGCTCACACCTGTAATCCTAGCATTCTGGGAGGCCAAGGCAGGAGGACTGCTTGAGCTCAGGAGTTGGAGACCAGCCCGAGCAAAAGCAAGACCCTCTCTCTATCAAAAATAGGAATAGACCAACCAGGCATGTTGGCACACATCTGTAGTCCCAGCTACTTGGGAGGCTGAGGCAGTAGGATTGCTTGAGCCCAAGAGTTTGAGGATGCTGTGAGCTAAGCTGATGCCATGGTACCCGAGCCTGGACAACAGAGTAAGACTCTGTCTCAAAAAAGAAAAAAAAGAGAAGAGAAAGAAAAAGAGAAATTCATTTGACTACCCGTTTCAAAACCTCCTCTAGGATACTACATACAGAAATTAATTCCGTATCCATTTGTAATGATTTATCTCATGATGGACCTTTAATTTCTATAACCTTGTTAATTATAAATCTTTTCAAGGACAAAAATACTTAATAATTTAAAAAATTTTTAAATGAATACAATAAAGAATTCACTATTGAATGCCAAAATAATACTATACAGAACCAAAGCTAGGGATTCAGGCATTTTATGTATCCCAGAATTATAACCTTCAATTATCTTGATTTAAATGACAGGCTCTTAATGCTGTTAAAAGCTTTCTTATGGTTGCACAAATTTCTGCCTATTTTTCAAGGAGTTGTTTTGTTGTTGTTTTCTAACCTCCATAGAAGCAAAAAACTACAAGCATATGTCTCTGTCTCATTACATTCCTCCATAAACCATCACGTACCATGTCTACGGTTTAAGTACAAACCTCCCTTGCTTTCAATAGTTTCAACTGGGAAACATCCACTAGTCATGGCAAGTGCTTTCCCTGTTCTGACAGTGTTTCTCACAGTCGACTGAACACTTCACATACCTTCCTCCATTAACCCCTGGATCTGCTCGTCTTTCTCCTTCAGAAGGTCTGCAGTCTCACTACTATTTAATCTAGTGGCAAGTTCTTCTTTTATGTTTTTGATTTCCTAATAAAAAAAAAAATCTGTGAATACCATAAAGAATTATTTTCATTAGAGGCATATTGTTTAAGGTTTTTTTATTCCCCGTCCAAAGAAGCCACCATAATCACATTCCCGATAAGAGTCTGTAAGCTTTGTTTATTTAACCTGTTGCCTTGGTTAACTAAGACTAAGAAAAGAGCTTCGAGTATGACGTATGAAATTTAAATTCAGATATATAAGCAAGTTTTAACATGGACATACAAATGAGAATAATTTAACTTTCAATACCCTTCTTTACTGTCTCTACCCATGTATTCTACAGGCTAAGCATTACATTTGGAACAACGCAGTACAGTTAGGTACAGGAAGAGGTACGTTGGTCAGGTACTTAGATAGTCTCAGGTTACTGTTGCTGTCTGAAACGAGCCAGTTAATTAAAGCAACCAAACAGATGGAAGTGTATGACCTGTTTCTTTTCTGTAAGAGTACAACACAGAAAAATTATAAATTAACAACTAACACTGGTCAAGGTGTCAGGCAACCTAACTGAGAGAGGCCAAATGCTGAGACAATGTTATTATTAACAGTAATAGTTGGGATGCAAGCAATAACTACTAACCGTAGATGTTTCCTGTTCCAAATTAGAAGCATTAGAACAATGGTTCTGGACCGGGAGTGGCTATGCTACCAAGGGGACATTTGGCAAAGTCTGGCAACATTTTCGACTGCCCCAACTGGTAAGAAGGAGGGGTCGTTGGCACGCCGTGGACAGAAGCCAGGGATGCTGCCAAACATCCCCCACTGCACAGGGCAGTCCCACAAAACGCGGAATTCTCCAGCCCAAAAGGTCAACAGCATAAAGGTTAAGAAATTCTGCATTAGAATACGTCAACATTATGTCTCTAAACCACTAGAAATTTATATTTTAAAATTACTTTGACCTGAAGAAGCATATATGAATGATAAGTCTGAAATGGCTGGAAAATTATAAGAGTAATACAATTTTATTATATAGTACTATTTAGATGTATTATTTATTTTGATGGAATTATCATTTATAAAAATTATTCTAATGATTCTTGCTATATACCTTGCAAGGACTTATATATAAATTACACAAATATTTGTTAAAAATCTATAAATTTATATGAAAAATCTACCATTTAAATGTTAATGTACTATATGGTATCCTTTACATCATCTTTTTTCCCAATATTAAAATATTATAAATGTATTGCTTAGAAATTTGTGTCTCTGTAGAGTTTAATATTATTTTAAATTTCTATTACCTTTTTAGCAGCATCTCTCTCTTTGCAGGCTAGTTGAACTTTCTTTTCTGCTTCTGCAATTCTTTGAGTAAACTCATCTTTCAAGGAAGAAATGCTACTGCTTTCTTCTTTCACTCTGAACATTTCACTTAAAGTTAAAACAACATTTAAGAATGGAGATATCGTTTATAGATCCCAAAAGTAACAAGATGACTTGAGTTCTCAAAAGGAAGGTAACATTTTCTCCAACATATACCTTAATAAAATAGCTTAGTTTCAGGTCAGTTAACTTTTAGGAGAAAAATTACTTGCTAAATTTATTTTAAAACAGCTCAAAGAAAACCCATCAGAAAGTGAAATGTCACCACATTTGATGTGCAAAAATAAGAAGTAAATGTTTCGATTCTGAATCTTCTTTTGTCACATTTTCCCAATCACCTCCGTGAAGCAAACCAATACTCAGTAATTTTTTAACTACAACATCACACTTTTGTTTAAATGCATAATTTAAATCTCTGATACCAAAAGACTCTTTAATAATAAAGGGAAGATTCTGTCTTAAGTTTTTGCAAAACACCTCTCTTCAATGCCAAAGGTAATATGGTAAAGATAGTCTGAGGAGAAAAGTAATCTCTAAGTAAGGTTATAGTCGAAATGCTATTCAATTTTCAATAATCAGAGTACATTTTCAATAAACAGAGTAAATTATTAAACATTTTAATTTCAAAAATATTCTTAAATAACAACAAAGAAGGGGCCAGATGTGGTGGTTCATGCTTGTAATTCTAGCATTCTGGGAGGCCAAGGCAGGAGGATCACTTAAGGTCAGGGGTCAAGACCAGCCTCAGCCTCAGCCTGAGCAAAACCCAATATCTACTAAAGATAGAAAAAAATTAGCCAGACAACTAAAAATAGAAAAAATTGGCCAGGCTTTGTGACGCATGCCTATAGTCCTAGCTACTTGGGAGGTTGAGGCAGGAGGCTGGCTTGAACCCAGGAGTTGGAGGTTGCTGTGAGCCAGAATGACACCATAGCACTCTAGCCTGGGCAACAGAGCAAGACTCTTGTCTCAAAAAAACAAAACAAAACAAAACAAAACAAAACAGTATACGGGCCTTGACAAAATGAGTAAATTTATTCAAATTTGTAAAATACTTACTCTTTCAGGTTATCATAAGCTTCTTCTAGAAGTGCTTTTTCTTTACTAAGAGATAATAACTGAGCCTCCCTTTTCTCCAGTTTCTCATTCAGAAATTCAACTGCCTGGATAAGGAGAATACATAAAAGTCAAAACACTCAACTTTTAAAAAGGCCACTTTTACATGCAGGTGATGAGCTATAAAGGTAACCCCATCACTGTAATAAATAAAACAGCACTATTTCATAAAAACAATTTTAAAAAATTGGGAACACAGTGGATACAGAACAATGAGAACTCTTACAAAGCTGGTGGGAGAATATAAATTAGTACACTATGTAGCTGGTGGGAACATAAATTAATAAACCGCTTTGGAAAACAATTAGGCAATATCTAGTTGGAGATCTGCACACCTCTGATGTAGAATACTCCACTTTGGAGTGCCCCTTAGAGGGGAAAACTATCATGTGAGTGTGCTAGGTAAAACGTACAACAACATTCAGAGTAGCTTGTTTGTTAACAGCAAAAAATATGGAACAGTCTGCATATTCACCAAAAGAGGAGAGGAGATAGATGGTATAAAAAAAAAGGTCAAAAAGAGGCTTCCAAGCCTCTGGTAATATTCTATATCTTAGCTGGGTAGTGGATATACAAGTGTCTGTTTTCCTTATTATTCTTTAACCCAAACATGTAATTATTTTTTTTTAGTATGATACATTGCATTTCAAAAATAACTGTAATTTTAGAAAACCCATATAGGCGCATGTTAATTTTTAATTCTGAAGATATATCAGGTAATAAAGCTACAAACAATAATGCTCAGAATATCCTTAGTCCTGCTGAAGTAGGATAGGCCGCTGCACGGTGCTCACACTGTAATCCCAGCACCTGAAGGCTGAGCAGGCGATTCTCGAAGGTTCAGAGTTCAAAAACCAGGCTGACAGAGCGAGACCCATTTCTACTATAATAGAAAAATAAACAGAATTAAATTGGCCAAAATATATAAGAAAAAATAGCCAGGCATCGGGGTGGCGCATGCTAGTCCCAGCTACGGGAGCTAGGCAGGGGGATCGCTGAGCCAGGAGTGGAGGTTGCTGTGAGCTAGGTTGACGCCACGGCATTCAACTCTAAGCCTGGGCACAAAGCGAGACTCGTCTCAAAAAAACAAACAAAAAAAAACCTTATATATAACAGGGAAGAAGGGTGTCTTTGGGACTCAAAGTACAAAAGCCCTAGCCCAAGTTAGGTCTAGATTAATTTGGAAATCACTTACCTTAAGTATATTGAAAACATTAAAAAATACCTTATTGATAGTAATTAGTGTTGTTCTAGAATCAAATGCATCCATATATTTATAGTATTAGCAGCATAAATTGGCAGTTAATATTGAATGCTTTGTTCGTGATAATATTAAACTGGTAATGACTTGGGCATTCTTTTTTAAATAATTCAGTACATGGCACTTACAGGACATTTCTTCAAGACATCCTATATCCCAGGAGTCTATTAAAGATGCCAGATCCACCTCAATTTCTATATCTAAAAATCACAGGGAAAACCAAAACTGTAACTTAATGTCAGTTAAAAAATTCAGGCCAGCTGTGGTGCTCACGCCTGTAATCCTAGACTCTGGCGGAGCAAGCGGGCGGGTGGCTCAGCTCAGCGAGTTGAAACCAGCCTGGCAAGAAGCCGAGACCCCGTCTTACTATAAATAGAACAATTAATTGGGCAACTAAAAATATATGGAAAAATTAACGGCATGGCCGTGGCGCATGCCCTGAGTCCCAGATTACTCAGGAGGCTGAGGCAGGAGGAATCGCTTGAGCCCAGAGGTTGAGGTTGCTGCTGTGAGCGAGGCTGATGCCAACAAGCACTCAGCCGAGGCAACAGAGCTGAGATCTGTTCAAAAAAAAAAAAAAATTCAACATTCATTCCCTTTGTATTGTATTAGCGCAAGCAACTTTGCATCCTAGCAATGCCCTTGTTCCTCGGGCATTTCCTTTTCTTACTCATATGAGATACAGCTATCTGCAGGAGATATCAAAAATAACACAAAGAGGAAACAAACTGAAGCAATACGAAGACAGTATACTCCTTATATTCAACAAAACATTAAATTAATTGACAAGCATGACGTGATCTAACATTAAAAACTAATCCCATTTAAGATTTGCTCATGAAATAATTTAAATGTGCAAACAAAAAAAAATTCTGGTATAAGAAAAACCCTAACACCTAGGTTTGTTTTAGCACATCTATCTGCAAAGGAGCTGAAGACACCTGTTAGCATAAGAAAACAGTCCTTCGTGAGCTGACCTGCGAGGAAGCACAGCCTAGGAGAATTCTAAGGGGATACGGACTCAGCAATAGAGACGGAACACGGGAACTTTTGTGCTTAGCAATACTGAAACAGCAATTTAGTCTACCACGACTGCCTTGGGGGAAATTTCAAATAATATCAAGTCACTGCTCAATTTTAAGGTCCTTAATGCTATACTGACTGAAATGTCGAAATGCTATTTTTTTAAAATCAACGCTGATTATTACGCATCCACGGAAATATCTTTAAGACACATGATTCACTCTCCTCTGAAAGGCACATCTAAAACATCCTTCCCGTCGTGCAGAGTCACCTTGCAAACGTGCTCCTTCTCAGAAGGCGCTCCTGGCTGACTCTGGGCGGCTTCTCCGGGCCGGGCCGCCCCGGGCTCCGGGACGGCCAGCGCTCCATGCACCTGCGCCCCGTGCACCTGCGCCCCGTGCACCTGCGCCCCGTGCACCTGCGCCCCGTGCACCTGCGCCCCGTGCACCTGCGCCCCGTGCACCTGCGCTCCGTGCACCGGGGCGGGAACAACCAAGACGTCATCGGGCTGCTCGCAGTTGACGGGGGTCGCGCTCCGTCCGCTTTCTTCCATGTCCGCGTCCTCCGTGGGTACGGTTAACGTTTCATCCTCCGCTTCTGCAGACCTCCCTCCAGCAGAGTCGGCCACCTCGGCCCTCGGGGAGGCCGGGCCGGCGGCGGGCGCCACCGCGAGCCCCCGGGCCGGCAGCTCGTCGTCCGAGTTGAGCTCGCTCACGCTGCGGCTGTCCAGCGACTGCACGCTGAGCGAGTCGATCCTCTCGAAGGCGTCGGACGAGCCGCAGCTCTCGGCCAGCCGCTGGAAGCCGTCCGAGCGGCTGTCCTCGGGGCAGGCGGACGCGGACAGCAGCTGGAAGGACGTCTGCATCAGGTGCAGGCCCGGCCTGGAGTCCGCCGCCTCCTGCCGCGAGCTGGCCGAGCTCTCGCTCATCACGCTCTCGTGGTCCAGGACCTCGATGTCGCTGGTGGTGGAGGTGCCCGAGGAGAAGGAGCTGGCGGGCGGCGAGGGCGTGTCGCTCTGCCGGTCCTCGAGTCTCCGCTCCCCGGCGGCGGGGGCCGGGCCCTTTGTCTCCGCGGCGGCAGGCCGTGTGGGCACACCGGGCGCGCTCTCGGTCACTGCCGTGGCACTAGCTGGCCGCTCGGACGCGTCCAGACGTGCACCTGGCTCCCCCGTGTCAGACTCCTGGCCAGCAGGCCCCGCGCGTGCGCCCTCAGTCCCGGGCGGGGGAGCACCTGCCGCCAGGGAGCCCCCCGGCACCCGCACAGGGGAGTCCTTTGCTCGGGACCCGGCCGCCCCCGGCGTGCGCGGCTGCCCAGCGGGCGAGGGTCCCTGCGCGGGGCCTTGCGCCTCTCCCTCCGGCCGCTGCGACTTGGCCGGAGGCTTGGACACCACGGGGCTCTTCGGGACGGTCTGCGCGTCGGCTGGAGAGAGGAAGGCACTGAAGAAATTCTCGGACTCGTCCACCACCGTCCTCCGAACGGGCTTCGTGATCGCCGTGGGAGAGGCCGCCGGCGGACTCCGAGGCTCCGCGCTTGATTCCAGCCCCCAGGTCGAAGTGTCCCATCCTCCGCTGGCAGGAGGGCTTACTCCTTGGATGAAAACATACATATATATATATATTAAACACATTAAGAAAAAAAACACATATATTAATATTTCAGTCATCATTATAAATCAATACAAATATAAATTCAGAAAAAAAAAAAAAAAACCAACCCTATGAAGTACAATCTGTAATTTGTACCAGCTAAACCACTTGCATCATTCATTAGATCCCAGGTTAACTTTGGGCCTTAAATAAGAACAGGAGGCCGGGCGCGGTGGCTCACGCCTGCAATCCCAGCACTCTGGGAGGCCGAGGCGGGCAGAGCGCTCGAGGTCAGGAGTTGGAAACCAGCCTGAGCAAGAGTGAGGCCCCGTCTCTGCTAAAGCTAGAAAGAAGTTAGTTGGACAACTAAAAATATATAGAAAAAATTAGCCAAGCGTGGTGGCTCATGGCTGCAGTCCCAGCTACTACTCGGGGGGCTGAGGCAGGAGGATCGCTTGAGCCCAGGAGTTGGAGGTTGCTGTGAGCGAGGCTGACGCCACGGCACTCACTCTGGCCTGGGCAACAAAGGGAGACTCTGTCTCAAAAAGAAAAAAAAGAAAAAAGAAAAGTAGTGGATGTGCCCAAGAGGAACTCGGGGCACAGATGAAAGACCAGCCCTAGCCTGGACTACCAGAAGCAAGCATGTTATTCCCTCCCACAAGAAATTAAGGAAGTAATGGCCTACGTTTTATAACACATGGTAAGTCGAAGATAGACACATGATTCATCTCACGATAACAGGCAGGATATTTGCTCGCAAGTCCTGGGCAGTCACTGCAAAATGGCTCTGTCTATCTATGTAATCAGTTTCACACTAATTTTATTCTTGTAATATCAATAGTAAAACGCATTAATAGCTATGAGCTAGACACAGGGCAATGCTCAAAAACTGAACCCAAGACACCAGTGACAAATGTTCTTTTCCAAAGATCAAACAGAACCGCTCAGAACAGTCAGTTCTAGAGAACAGATTCATTCCCATACTCTTAACAGACAAGCCCATTCTCCAAGTCCCACTCTCCAAACTCACTCTAAGAGAAAGTTTTGTTCTCTTCCTAAATTCCAAATTATGTCAGCAATTAGAAGATCATTATGAATTTGAGAAATGTGCATTTTTAAAGAACTATTGCTTTTTGATACAAAATTCAGGGTTTTAAAAAACACTATGAAGAAAATAACTATCTTCTTGGGGGGAAAAGGTAATTATCACAACAGTCATAAAAATGGCTACTACTAAAAAACCCGGTGATAAACTAAAAATGGTATGTTGGCTAAAGTATTTAAGGTACTTCTTTAAAAAATTTTTCTTTTATAAATTAAAAAGTGGCTGAGGCCAGGTGTGCTGGCTCACACCTGTCATCCTAGCACTCTGGGAGGCCCAGGCAGGTGGATTGCTCGAGGTCAGAAGTTCGAGACCAGCCTGAGGAAAAGTGAGACCTCGTCTCTACTAAAAATAGAAAGAAATTAATTGGCCAACTAATATATATAGAGAGAAAAAATGAGCCGGGCATGGTGGCGCATGCCTGTAGTCCCAGCTACTCGGGAGGCTGAGGCAGGAGGATCGCTTGAGCCCAGGAGTTGGAGGTTGCTGTGAGCGAGGCTGACGCCACGGCACTCACTCTAGCCTGGGCAACAGAGTGAGACTCTGTCTCAAAAAAATAAAAATAAAAATAAAAAAGCACAGGGCGCGCCTCCGAGCACGCAAGTGCCCGTTAAGGGTGAGCGACGGCGCCTTTCCTCCCGGGCAATTCCCAGGCCTCAGGGCTGGATCCCCACGCGCCCCCGGGCGAGGCGACGGTCCGGTAGAGGAAGGTGGCGTTTGGGGGCGTGAGCAGTCGGCGGGGCCCGGGGGTCATAGGCGAGGGGGTCGGAACCCGGGACCCGGGGGTCAAAGGCGAGGGGTTCGGGACCGGTTAATGAGGCGAGGGCACGCTCCCCTGCCCGGCACCCGCCTTCACCCGCCCCGCCTACCCGGCCCGCCTTACCCGGCCCGCTCACTACCGCCTACCGGCCCCCCGCACCTTACCCGGACCCCGCTCCCTACCCGGCCCGCCCCCATAACGGCCACCGCCCCCCTACCCGGCCCCCGCCCTTAACACCCGCTCCCCTTACCCGGACGCCAGTCCCCTAGCCCGGGCCCCGCCAGCCCTTACGCGCCCCCGCCGCCCCCACTACGCCGGCCCCCGCTCCCATAGCCCGTGCGCGCCCGCCCCTTACCCAGCCGCTCCCTACCCGGACCCAGCTTCACCTAACCCGGCCACTACCCGCCCCCCGCCCCAATTAAACCACGTCCCCCCGCTCGCTACCCCGGCCCCCCGCCCCATTACCCGACCCCGCTCCCCTACCCGGCCCCGCCGCCTAGACCCGCCGCCCCATACCCGGACACGCCGCCTAACGGCCCCCGCTTCCTTACCCGGACACCCCGCCCCTACGGCACCCAGCCACCTAACCGCCCGCTCCCGATTACGGCTCCCCGCCCCCCTACCCGCCCACCCGCCCCTACACCGGCCCCGCCCCCCTACACGGCCCCCGCTCCCCTACCGCGCCCCCCGCTCTACCCGGCACCCGCCTAGCCCGGCCCAGCTCCCTACCCCGGCCCCGCTTCCCCTACCCGGCCCAGCTAACGGCCCCCGCTCTACCGCCGCCGCTACACTACCGGATTCCCCGTACGCGGCAGGCTCGGCCCAGGCGCCCGGCCGTTATCCTGCAATGTTACAGGAAGCGGTCGATGGACTTCTGCGCCTGCGACAGGGCCTGCTTGGCGAAGCTGGACAGCTGGGCCGCAGTTAGAACAGCTACATCGCGCTCTCAGCCGGACGGCGGCGACGGCTCGGGCCGAGGGAAACGTGCATGAAGAACGGCGTCTGGCGCCCCTTCCCGCCGCCGAGGCCGGCCTTGTCAGCGGGGCGCATGCGCCGCAGGCCCCCCGAGCCCGGGACCCTGCGCGCGGCGCTCCCGGCGCGGCCCTGCCTGCGCATGCGCGGGCTCCCTCCACGTCCGCACAACAGGCAGATCCGGGAGCCCCGAGTTCCGCCGGCGGCCGGAAGAACAGGGGCGCGGGGCCTTGACGTCACACCCGGAAGCCCCGGGTCGCCCTTAGCTACCGGGGAACGCGGAACCGGGTTTACCTGGGCCTGGCTCGCAGCTATGGCGGCTCGAGTTTTCAGCCGGGACTCACAGAGGCCGAACAACCGGTTCGGGAGAAATGAGCCAGTTTTATTATGCGCGCGCTTTCCAGGAAGGTCGTCGGCGGGATAAACAATTGCAGAGGGAGGTTTCGCCCTCCTCGTAGCGCTTTGTCTCGGGTGTTTAATCAGTGCTCTGGTGGCCTGAAGGGGAACGCCTGGCTTGGGCGCGCCTCAGACGCTGGGGCTCACGTGTGCACGTTGCACCCAAACCCTGAACACACACGGTGCAGAAGGCGTCACCTCTGTGAGGGGTCCAGACATTGCATACCTGCAAGGCCCACACCCCCAGTGAAGCTTCGGGAAACCGTTGCTTGCTTGCTTCTTTGCGCCAACTTTGCATTGTTCGAACCCCTGTATAGTGGGGCTACCAGCCAGCCAATCATGTTAAAGGTCAGTGCATGATCCACGCGTGATCAGCCACTGCATAGCGTGTGCACCATGGGGATAAAAGGCACGCTGCGACCCCGGTCGGGGTCCTTGCCTCCCAGAGTGGCCACTGCGTTGGTGCTCAAGGCTTGGACCCTGGCTAGCCAGAAAATAAACTCCTCTTGTGTGTTTGCATCCTCGGTGTCTCTGTCTCTCTGTTGGGTAGGGTGGTGAGAGGTAGTCGACTCCCAACAAACTCCTCCTCGGAATGGTGGCGCACACATTGCTCCGGTCAAAACAAACCTACTGTTAATACTAACGTTCGCCCCCCCCCCAAGTCCATAGGTTGGAACCTAATCCCAACGCAACTGTATTGAGGTTGGGCCTTTATTTTATTGAGACAGAGTCTCACTCTGTTGCCCTGGTCAGTGTGCTGTGGCGTCAGCCTAGCTCACAGCAACCTCCACACACCCATGGGCTAAGCCATCTTCCTGCCTCAGTCTTCCCAGGCAGCTTGGACTACAGGCCTGTGCCCATGCCCGGCTCATTTTTCTCTATCTATATTTTTAGTTGGCCAATTAATTCTTTCTATTTTATAGTAGAGACGGGGTCTGGCTCTTGCTCAGGGTGGTTTCAAACTCCTGAGCGATCCACCCGCCTCGGCCTCCCAGAGTGCTAGGATTACAGGCGTGAGCCACCGTGCCAGGCAGAGGTTGGGCCTTTAGGAGGCGATTAGATGATGATGGCATACGCTGAAAGGTCAAGGAGAAATTCAAAGGAAAAATAAAATATTTAAAAGATTAAAGTATAGAATATAATTTTTAAAAATTAAAAAAAAAATAGGCCGGGCGCGGTGGCTCATGCTTGTATCTAGCTCTCTGGGAGGCCGAGGTGGGCGGATTGCTCAGGTCAGGAGTTCGAAACCAGCCCTGAGCAAGAGCGAGTACCCCATCTCTACTATATAATAAAATAAGAAATTATTGGCCAACTAATATATATACACGAAAAAATTAGCCGGGCATGGTGGCGCTGCCCTGTAGTCCCAGCTACTAGGGAGGCTGAGGCAGGAGATGTGCTTAGATCTCGCAGGAGTCGAGGTTGCCTCTGTTGAGCGAGGCGGACGCCACGGCACTCCCTCTAGCCTAGGCAACAAAGTGAGACTCTGTCTCAAAAAAAAAAAATAGATGATGATGGTACCCTCCTGAGTAATACTGGAGCAAGGGAGCCTCTTTGTCCCTTGCACCATGTGCACACAGCAAGGTGGCGCCAACTATGAAACAGCTAGGAAGCACTAAAACTATTACCCTATGTGTACTGTGTACATCACTTAAAATATAACCTTTGCTGTGTGCACTCTGCAAACATTTGGCCTTAGGAAGAAATCTTAAATTGGTGGCATTCCCAATCCAATCAACTGCTATGTTTGGATTGGCCCCAATAATATTAAACACAAAATCCTACCAACATTTATAATACAAAAATCCAGATTTCCA